ATAATGGACCCCAGTTCTACAGGAACGATGCAGCGGCTACAGAGTGAAAAGAGCATCCTGGATGAACCAGACTCTCCTCTAGAGGTGAGATAATCGTGCTTCCCGTCTGTTTCTTTGTGTTTCTCTCTTGATCATTTTCTTCCTATTGATAGAGAACAGCTGAACATTATACTTTAACTTTCAGCACCATGGACAGCATCCCAGTTACCTTAGCTCATTTGATAATTCTGCTTTTGCAAACGTCTTTGCATACATAGCTTTTAAACCTTATGCCGTGGAAATTATTTTTATATGCGCGTTTATTTGACATTTCCAAAATACCATAGGAATGTTGTTGATCCATGTCCACTGCTCAGCACTACAGTATATAATATAAATCTTAATCCTAAATATGTTACTTTTTCGCTACTGTGGATTACAGGTGATTGAACTAGCCTCCATATCTGTATTACACACCCTTCAATCAAGTTAGTTGTTTTAATACAGGTTCCAGTGATGTGATTTCAGAATAAGAGCATTGGTATTTATTTTCAGGTTTTACAGCTTGTGTGGAACTTAAGTTAAAGGTAGTTGTTCAATTCCTTCAATTGGACTGTGATGTACAGTCTCTGAGGGAAATTTGATTCTCCACGGATACCCCCCCACCCATTTATTTGCTTTAATACGAACTGATTAACACCATTCTGTAGATCCATTTTGATTGTTCGCAGTCCTCAAATACTCTGTAATGAATTGCATCATATGATTAATACCCCGATGTACTGTTGATTTTTTTTTGATGTTTGTTTAGCTCTTTGATAGTATTGCTCCTCTCTGTAAGGGGAATTGTCGGTATCTTTTTACCATGGATATTGAATTTGAATAATTTTCCATCCAGATGTTGATATTCATTGACTGGACTCTAAGGGACGCTGTTGGTCAAGTAAAAACAAATCCGAACAAATGTTTTAGGCGGTGGCTTTGTGCTCTGTGGAGAGTCGGTATGCTTTATTGAATGGCGTCGAGGTGGGCGCAGACAGACTGCTTGGTTTCATATTTAACAGCACGAGAGAAAGGAAGCTTGGAATACAGATCGTTCAATACACTAACGTGGATTGCGTTGCTGTTCACACTTAGGTTTTCTAAGAAGTGTTTGGTAGGTATAATTTCATATCGTTTATTTGATAACATGGATTGCGGAAAATATGACTACCGGCCTCTAAGATGGCGTTTGTGCTACAGACTGACGTCGCAAATCGTTCTGTTTTGCATTTTTCTCAGTCATATTGCCAGTGGTCAAATACGTTATTCAATCCCAGAAGAGATGAAGAAGGGATCCCTCATTGGTAATGTCGCATTGGACCTTGGAATTGATATGCAGAGGCTCCGTTCTGGTCGGGCCCGTATCGTGACCGGAGAAAGCATCCAGTACACCGAGCTGAAGACAGACAAAGGGACGCTGGTCGTGAATGAGAGAATAGACCGAGAACAGCTTTGTGGAGACGTCACTCCGTGCAGCTTCAGCTTTGATCTGATTTTAGAATTCCCGATGGAACTACACCACGTCACGGTCGAAGTATTGGACATTAATGATAATTCACCTTCTTTTCATCAGAACGAAATGCAATTGACGATTGGAGAATCAGCCGCACCGGGAGCACGTTTTGTTTTGCCTACAGCCAATGATCCTGATGTAGGAGCCAACGGGCTCCAGGACTATAATTTATCTCCAAATGACAATTTTATTTTAAAAAAACATTTAAATTCTGACGGAAGAAAATATGCGGAAATGGTACTTGACAAACCACTGGATAGAGAGCGATATCCAAGTATGTCCCTAAAGCTGATAGCAGTGGACGGTGGGACGCCACAGAAATCTGGTATTGTAAATATAGATATCACTGTCCTAGATGCTAACGATAATTCTCCCATTTTTAATCAGTCAGTATATAAGGCCAATGTAATGGAAAATGCTGCAAGAGGTACCTATATCATCACTGTAAATGCTACTGACGCAGATAGTGGATCCAATGGGTTGATCTATTATTCTATTTCCAAAATGCAAGGCAGTATTGACAGCATATTTGAAATTAATAAAACAACGGGTGTGATATTTCTCTCAGGGCAGGTTGACTATGAAAAAGCAAAGAAATATGAAATAGGCATTGAAGCCACCGACCAAGGAGCTTTAACAGACTCGAGTAAAGTTATAGTTGAGGTGATTGATGTGAACGATAACCCCCCTATCATTAATGTGATGTCATTCACTAGTCCTGTGTCAGAAGATTCCCCTCCTGGTACAACTATTGGCATTATAAATGTAAAAGATCTTGATGCAGGTGATAATGGACAAGTACATTGTAGAATAGAAGAAAATGCACCTTTCAAAATTAAATCTAATTTAAGAAATTACTATACTTTGGTAACAGCTACTGCATTAGATCGTGAAACAGTTTCAGAATATAACATCACTGTTGTTGCGACAGATGCAGGAATGCCTCCTCTCTCAACTAAAAGAACCTTTCATTTAAAGGTCTCTGATGTGAACGATAATGCTCCTGTGTTCCCACAAAGTGTTTACACTGCGTTTATTGTGGAAAACAACTCTCCAGGTGTTTCTCTTCTTACCATAAGAGCACAAGATCCTGACGAAAACCAAAACGCCCGTATATCATATTTTCTAGATGTTAATGACGTAAGCGGATCTCCACTGTCTGAATATATTTCTATAAATGCAGAAAGTGGAGTGATACATGCCATGCGCTCATTAGATTATGAACAAATCAAACAGCTGCCTTTTGTTGTCAAAGCGCAGGATGGAGGCTCCCCTCCACTCAGTAGCAATGT